TTACAAATTACTGGGATAAAATGGCATACCTATGTCGTTTTATAATGAGTGCTAATATGTCATTTTAAACGACAAACACACTTTTTAAAAACATGGTGAAAAAAAAATATACTTACATTTTATTGAAAAACTACCCACTGGAAAAATAATATATTCTCTAGAGACCGGCACCGTCAAATAGTTCCACCAAAAAAACATGGTTTTGATTTAATTTTCAACACATATTAAGGTGGCTTAAAACACGGAAGCAGTGGAAATGCACAAACACAAATCTCAGATGTAACTAAGCAAATACGGACATGACGTTAGTTTAATGAGCTGCAAGTTACCCCATTGTTTCATCGATGGTGCCAGTAGTCTGTAAAGGTGCGTTCAATAATGAAATGCCGCCTATATCATTCTATCAAACTATGTCATTTCAGGACAGTCTCCCCTAATCTGTAACCTTATATACCCTTAGGTTTAAGGTTTAATAATAATAATAAATAGCCTTTATTTTACCTGGTGGGTTACATCAGCAAAAGCTGTTTCTCAGAACCAACAAGCGCTAACAAAAATACAAATACATTCAAATACAGAAAAAACAGAGTGAGGAGGTCATGCGGAGGACAGTACTTCTTAGCTCTAGACAAAGGACCTACCTTTTTTCAGCAGCTGCCGTTATAGACGAGACGTATTCATGTCAGGTCAAGTCCTCGGTGATCTGGACTCTGCCCAGCCCCCTGCCAAAATGAACCGCCCTTTGGTAGAATTCGGCGATACATCGCAATCGGATGAACGGTAGGACGCTTCTTGTTAGTCAAGATACAGTACTGTGTTTTTGAAGCATTACCAGATTGTTGCGTCCCCAAGCAGCAATAACCTCCAGGTCTCTTGTCAGAGAGAAAGTCGCTGCTAGTCTTTTTTCCAGCATACCGCAGATCGGCTTGTCACTCTGAATTCCTGCATGTAGAGTGCTGTCATCAGCAAAGATACGGATCGGATTGATCGTACAGGAAAGGAGATCGTTGTTATGTAGGAGGAACAATGTTGGAGCCAAGACCGATCTCTGGAGAACACCGCGCTGACTTTGTGGGATGAAGAGGAAAACCAGTCAATCACAACGGATAACTTGCGGCCAGAGATTAAGTCACCCACACATCTGTGAAGCTTCTCTGAGAGGCAACAGGATGGTAGGAATCTCCACCGCACATGTATCCAACACAGTGGAATTAAGTTCGGACGATAAGCCTTGTCGATGTCGAATGAAGAACACCCGCCTTAAGGTCAATATTCATTTATAATAAATTGTGCTCTCAAAATTTCTTGTATCTACTTTATGACCCAACAAAAGATTTTCTTCAATTTTTTTAACTGTCCACGTGGTTCTCTTTCAATCATTCTAGATAACATGTCACTAAAATCTAAGCTCAAAACTGCACAAGTTTCAACCAGAAGCTCCTTCATGGCCGGCTTCAAGAAATAAAGTAAATCGTGATCGTGTTATCGCCTTTTAAACTGTGCTAAAAACACCACACAAATACCCTTCACTCAAACACAAGAATTTCGGTGTCTTTGTCGCGGAAAATAGAGAGCAAACCACCAGCCACGAGGACTAGAGATACGAGGTTAAACTACGTAATGAATACATGTATTCATATGAAACAAATCCTATCGCCAGGAATGGTGTAGCTCTCAGAAATCTAGTGTACTGAGAACACGGTGCGGAGCGACTGCGCATTGAAAAACGTTAACATAACCTGCCGCAATCTTTATTTCAATCACGTTTTGTCATGCTTTGTAGGTTAATAATAATAATAATAAATGACTTTATTGAATAAAACAAATAATCTTTTTACAAAGGTAATTTAGAAAAAAAAATACAGCATACATTGCCTAATATTAGCGCAAGTCTAGCTTAAAGCTACTCTACTGAACCAAAATAAGTCAAAAAAATAATAATAGTAATAAGTCTTATACAACAATACAGAATAATCATAATAATAATCACGTGTTAACACTAAATGGACTAAAAGTAAATTAAAATTTCAAAAAGATATTAATTAATACTGGTCACAATAAAATTTGGTTACTGGTTACTATAAAAGTTGCTTCACATATTTTTTCTACTTATATACCTATATTATAAACTTCAATCTCTATTCTAAAAAAGCTTGTTCAGATTTGTATTAAGCAAATATTTCTTATATTGTATTTTGAAACTTGAAAGAGAAAGATTAAGGAACTGATTGGGAATTGAATTAAATTGTTTAACAGCATTGTATGAGAATGATCGTTGAAACAATGCACTACTATGAAGCGGCATAGTTAATTTTTTTAAATATCTTACATTTATATCATGAACAGAATGTCGGAAAATTAAGCGTTCTCTTATATAATCAGGTGAACCTGGAGTGTTTATAATTTTTAATAAAAAACTAGAAAAATGAAGAGTGCAACGCTCATTCATTTTAAGCCATTTAGTTTCTTTATACAAATGAGATATATGATGAAACCTACGCAGACCGTAGATAAATCTGAGGCACGCATTTTGCACATTCTGAATCCGACCTCTTCTTGCCTGATCTAAGCAAAACCCATAGACAAAATCACAATAAATGAAATTGGAAAGAATTAGGGATTCACACAATTTTTTTTTTTAGTGATCAGTTTAGTATGTGTCTATAATTATACAAAACTTTTAGAGAACAAAATGATTTTTGCATAAGATTTTTTAGGTGATCTTTAAATCTAAGCTGAGAATCTAAAACTATACCGAGATTTTTTGTACTTTCAACAAAATTCAATTTTGAATTATTAGCCATTATATTGAGATTAGCTTTCAAAAACTCTAGATTTGTTACCAAAAATCATTACATTCGATTTTTCCGGATTAAGTTTTAAGTTGTGACCTAATGAGAGATGGTTCAAGGTGTTAACGTCCTCATTTATACAATTTTCGTAATATTTGTAATCCTCAATATCAAAAAAACAATAAACCTGGGTGTCATACGCGAAGGCCTGAACTTTACAAAACTTTGAAAACGTAAGGATATCAGATGTACAAATTAAAAATAACAAGGGGCCCAATATTGATCCCTGAGGAACTCCCGATAGGATCTCCGCTTTGTCTGAGAATGTGTCATTTGATAGAATCGATTGGTACCTTCCTGTCAAATATGATTTTAAAAGCAAACATGCTTCCTTATTAAAGCCATAGTACTGAAGTTTAACTACCAACAATTCATGATTAATGATATCAAAAGCTTTTGAAAAGTCTAGAAGTACCAAAACTGAACTCATCTTTTTACCATTTGCTCTTAATATGTCATCGAGTACGCTTGTTAGAGCCACTTATGTACCAAAATGTTTACGAAGACCACACTGAGTACCAGGAATGATATTGTTACTCACACAAAAGTCATAAATTTGTTCGTACAGCACTCTTTCAAATATCTTTGACAAATCAGGAAGTATATTTATCACACGAAGTTCGTTAAAACTTGATGGATTAGTTATTTTTGGTAATGGTTTTCCTATGGAGATTTTCCACTTGCCAGGAAAGTAGCTCGTTTCAATGGAACAGTTTATAATATGTGTTATATACTTATCTATGTACGGACTACAATATTTTAACATTAAGGGCGAAATATCATCTATCCCGGTAGCATTACTTTTTATGTTGTTTAAAATTTTGTTTATATTTGTTATTTCTGCTAAATTAAAGTTAAAGGTTAAGTTATTTTTAAAGGCATTGTTTTATAAAATTTAATTTTTTCCGAACAGTTAGATTTATTTTGTAGAAAAGCATCAAAAAAGCTATTAATATCATTAGGTTCTGATAAAGACTAGGGAATTTCATTATTTTTCGTAGAACAGATATTAAAACTTTTTAAAACTGACCACAGTTTTTTGGAGTTACCTTCAAAAGATTCTATGTATTCCTTCTTCTCTTTTCTTATCAACGATAAAGTAAAATTTCTTAAATGTTGATAATCTACCCAGTCTGATTGAAGCTTTGATTTTTTAAATTTTTGCAGTGCTGCATCTCTTTGTTTCATAAATAATTTAATATTGTTAGTTAACCAATGCGCTTTTCGTTTTGTTATTAGTGATTCTTTTATTGGTGCATGCTTACTAAACAATATAAAAATTAGATTATTTAAAATAGTTATTTTATTATCAATATTATTCTCATATAATATATTATTCCACGGCAAAGTTTGCATATCTGCTAGAAAATAATTCAGGTTAAAATTTTTAAAAGAACGATGTTTTATTATTTTAGGTGATTTACTTTTGAAACATTAAGATCGCAGTAAATCAATTTATGATCTGAAATATTATCCACCGATAAAACCCCAGACCTAGCCACTATCGACAAGTTGGTGACAAATATCGCATCAAGCATCTAATGAACTGCGTAAGATTATAATTTTCAAATAGGGGTACCAGTGGTTTTTGAAGATTAAGTAAGTTGCAATTAAAATCTCCCAAACAAATAATTTCATCAACTAAAGGGTAAAGACAGGAAAATATGTTATCAAAATCAGGAATTAGAACATTAAAATTAAGCTTTGGTGGTCTATAAAAAAACACAATAACCGTATTTTTTGTTATTAATTTTTAGTTTAAATATAAAGTACTCAAGTTGTTAATTACTTCTTGCCTTATTAATATTATCCAATAATTGTCAAAATTGGAGTTGTGTACAGTCATGATGACAGAGAGAGAGAGATACCACATGCACAAAACCTGCACAGTGTACACATGAGCGAGATGCTCTATGCGGGTCACCTGAAATTCATTGGCTGCGCAGTGTATCAACTCACTTCATCGTCGACATTTTTGGCTTCGCCCCCACCCCATGAGTTTAGCCTCCTATCTTTCTATCTTCTTGTCACAAGCAAAGTAACAACCAACGCTGTCTGCTAACTCTTATTGTTATTTGAGCTATACCCAGAAAAATACTGATGTACCATATACAGAGTGTAAAACGTAAGCCAAACCTGTGTCGAGATGATCCAAATGTGTCATCCTTGGTTCCGCCCCTGACGCCGATTTGTATAACGCAACGACATTCTAATAGATACTATCTCGTTATATTTCACCTTTTATCTTTCTAGAAGCTCCGTTTATACACCTAATCCCATTTCTTACATGTTTCAGAAGCATGAGAGGCGAGTTCGACCGTTCCAGTCAATACAGCAGCCGGTACAGTTATCGCGACTTCGAATCGAACAGGATGCACTACGATATTCGCGAGCCGGACCTGAACGTGGCCAAAGAGTACCGGACCCAGAAGATCCTGGTGACGATGATCACAACGTATGGCATCTGCCTGTGTCCACTGATGATCCTCCGATTGGCTAGACTGGCTCTGGCCGAGACCTACGAGAACGCTGGGCATTTTGACATCACATTTGCTGTGTTTGTTTGGATCGCTTTCGTTCCAGTTTGCTCTACGCCGATTCTCTATGTTATATGGCAGATGACCAGGTAGAGCATGATTTACCCTATTTAACTCTTATTCGTCAGATAAATAATATCCAAGGTGTTCCTTAATGATATGCGAATATTTAAGGGTATGAATCTACATGCAAAATTAATGTTAGTTGGCTTTATAAACTATGGTCCAAGAATGTTTCCTTACAAAAACTCGGGGTGTTGAAGTTTAAAAAAAATGGAAATTAATTAATATTTTCAGAACCGCCTCAGATATTTCACTGATATTTAGTATGTAGTGGAAGTTAATAAGGTTGTATATTTTTCAATGCAAAAATAATTTTTAGCTTTAACAATGGCGTGCGTACAGGTATTGACTTCGATATTTTTTAAGAAAAAATGGTACGTCAATGGTTTCTTGCCAAATAAAAATTATTTTTGAATTCCTCGTTCAATTTAAAACAAATGATCCATTTTTGAGTAAAAAAATTAAAACTGTTCTATTGTCTAACTTGCAAAATTATTATAAATTTAATAAGAAAAATTAACAAATTAGGGGTAATGAAAAACAACAACTGACAACATAAACATAAAATTAAAACCAACGAAATGATTACAAAAATTGTTGAAAATGGCCCCCTTCACTTAGTGTGCATGCTTCCGCCCTCCTTCTCATGGAATTGCGCACTCGTTGAAATATCGCTGGAGTGTTTTTTATTCTATCACAATCTGCAACTACTCTTTCTCTTAATTCCTCTACAGTGTAATTGGGACTTGTGTACACTAGTACACAAAAAGATATCTACACCGTTGAGGCCTGGGGACCTTGGTGGCCATTCTTGGAGCCCACCGCGGCCAATCCAACGATTTGGATAGACAGTTTGTAAATAATTATGGTGCACCATCATGCATGTACCACATATTATTTCTTATTACTAACGGAACATCATCAAGCAGCACAGGCAACTGTTGTTGAAGAAAATTGAGGTAAGTCTGTCCGTCAAGTCGTCCCGGCAAGAAGAATGGGCCAATAAAGTGGTTGCCAATAATTCCTGCCCATACGTCAACCGAAAATTGGTGTAGGAAATGGGTTTCGGTTACGGCATAGGGATTTTCTTCTGCCCACAAATGATTATTGTGGAAATTCTGAATGGCATTTCGAGAAAAATTAGCTTCGTCCGTGAACAGAATCATTGATTCAAATTGCGGATTTTGTGTAATTTTTTGAAGATACCACTGACAAAAGGTCACACGCCTTGGAAAATCAATGGAAAGTAATGCCTGAACTCCTAAAATATGGTAAGGATATCCACTCAAATTTAAGTGTCTAGCAATCTTCCTCGTACTCATTTCAGGATGTTCTTCGACTTCGTGCAGCGCTGCTTCCTCAATTTCAGGTGTTCTCATACTTAGAGATATACCTTCAGATGTTCCTTTTCGGACAGAACCAGTTTCAAAAAGACAACAATGAATACCAGAAAAGGTTAGTCTATCTGGCAAAGCACGATCGGGATATCTCTGGCGATAAATCCATCTGGCTTGCTCACCATTACCCTCGGCAAGGCCATATACATAATGCATTTTCGCCATTTCTGCATTTGAATAATTCACCATTATTAACAAGATTGTAAAAACTAAATAATGAAAAAGATGTCGCAGCGAACAGATTTGAATAACAGAGACTTGTCAGATGTCAAAAGCCAGTGACATATTCCAGAGCAACTAGATATATATTTCTAAATTGCATTCTTCAATTATTACATTAATTTTCTCGGACAATAGAACGGGTTTGATTTTTTCACTCATTAATGGCGCATCGAATAAAAACAATTCAAGAGAATTGAACGAGGAATTCAAAAATAATTTTTATTTGGCAAAAGACTATTAGCGTACCATTTTTTCTTAAAAACTATCGAAGTCAATACCCGTACGCACGCCACTGTTAAAGCTAAAAATTGTTTTTATTTATTTTATTAACTTTCACTACGTACTAAATATCAGTGAAATATCTAAAGCGGTTCTGAAAATATTGATTAATTTCCATGTTTTTCCTAAAACTTCAACACCCCGAGTTTTTGTAAGGAAACATTTTTGAACCATAGTTTATAAAGCAAACTAACATTAATTTTCCATGTAGATTCACACCCTTAAATATTCGCTTATTATTAAGGAACAACCTGTATATCAAGTTAAATGGACACTTCAAAAATATCCCTTGTTCAAAGTACTTATTCAGTACTCCACGGACATACAAGTACCAGGTATTTTTAGGGCCGTATCGTCAGCCGTTCCTACAATAATTGTAGGACGCCTTTATGGCCTCCTTGATTTTCATGGGTTTCTGCTGTTCCGTGTCGGCGCTCTATTTTGAGGTTAAGTCCCATATAGCTATTTGCATCAAATTATTCACAGTAGAAATCTAGACATACCCCGCCTTTCTGAAGGAAAGAAAAGACTATGAAAATCAAGAAGGCCATAAAGGCGTCCTACAATTGAAGGAACGGCTGACGATGCTGCCTTTAGGCTCAAAATGAGTTGACTGGACCTCATTTACCTCTATTCAAAAGTGGTTCGCTTGTCCGTTAGAGGACATCAAGGTTTTCTTTTTAAAACACAGGTTTTCTGATATTTTTGGAGCTCATGATCCGATTTGTATGAAATTTGGGCACATGTATTTTGCTAGACGTCCTAATATTTGACTTTTTCAAAAAACACGAAAGGGTTCGAGAAGGGTGAAAACTACCCCCACCCGTTCATTTTATTATAGTAGAATTATTTTTGCATCTCTTTCAACGAATCGGATTTTTTTATTTAGAAGATCCGTTCGTGTACTTCATTTTTTGTCAGAAAGCATAGTTTTTTCAGAAATGAATGTTTTTCAACGCTGATTTCTACAAAAATGTGTTAAATTCTAGTAGGCACCTAGTTGGCGGAAATGTAGGATGTTATGTTAGTGTCAGATTATTTTTGGGCAACAAGCTTCATAAATTTTGAATTAATAAGTAATCTTTGAATTTATTTTTGATTATTAATTAGCTGTTTGTTCATAAATTTTAGAAGAGAAGTAGAAGCTCTTATTCAATGGCCACCTCGTTCCACGGATCTTAATACTTGAGATTTTTTCATATGGGGAGCATTAAAAACAAAGATATACGAGACTCGGATAGACAACGCCAATCAACTATAGGACACGATTCAAAAAGCTGCAAACACGAGGTTTGTCCAAAAAGTATCGCACATTTTCTACTTTAGATCTTTTTAGCTTGTCTCCGATTTTTGTCTATGGATCAAAGAATTTGTAATAAATTTTGTGTAAAAAAACACCTTAAAGTGCGGACATATGTCAAATGTTGACTGTTGCATACGACGAAGCTACTTTGGACAAAAGCAACGTTTATTAGTGGTACAAAATGTTGTCAGAGGGCCGAGAAGATGTGAGCGACGAAAAGCGTTCCGGACGCCCAAGCACGCCAACAACAGACAAAAAGATTGATGAGTTCTTGCCGCAGGGTAGAACGGCCAATATGGGATATTACCTTCAAGTAATGCGCAATTTGCGAGAAGCAATCCGCCAGAAACGCCCGGATTTGTAGAAGAACAAAAATTGGCTTTTGCACCATGATAACGCCCCTGCTCATGCATCGTTACTTTTGCGCGAATTTTTGGCCAAAAACAACCCCCGCATAATGCCTCACCCACCGTATTCCCCAGACCTGGCCCCCTGTGACTTTTTTTAATTCCCGAAACTGAAGAGGCCCATGAAAGGACGGCGCTATGCCACAATTGAGGAGATAAAGACGGCATCGAAGGAGGAGCTGAACAAGATCAGAAAATATGATTTTTCAAAATGCTTCGAGGATTGAAAAAAACCTTATCACAAGTGTATTGTGGCTGATGGGGATTACTTTGAAGGAGACAAAATAGATATTCATGAATAAATAAATAATTCTCGAGAAAACGTGAAATTCGCGATACTTTTTGAACAAACCTCGTACAGTAAAGAGTAATGACATCTTAGAGAAAGTTAATTATATTTTTTGCGCCGTACTGTTGTACGCAGGAACGAAAATGGTAGTCATAATGAACACCTTTCGTGAAAGATTCGCACTGTATTGAATAAAATTGTAATAAGTAATATCGTAAATTTTTTAGTTTCGCTAACCACACTTAAGAAATTAGTAAGACGCTTGGGAACCTTGATGCAGCTCATTTTTTCATCAAAATCTATCCGAGATGGCCTGTTTTTATAAGGGACCAAAAATGAAGGAAATAAAAAGATAAACAAAAAAAAATGCAAGCTCGTTGGAAATGTTGCCAAAAAAATCTGCTATAATTTATCTCGAGACCTTTGAAGGTTTTTTGTAAAAGTCAAACATTAGAACATCTAAATCTAAATCTTAACAAATATTTTTTAAAAAGAAAACTTTGACGCCCTCTAACAGACAAACGAAGCACTTTTGCATGGAGGTAAATCATATCCAGTGCGACGGAAGGCAGGAAGTAAGACTTTGAGGATGAGTGGCGAATTTTCGCCAGGGTAGCGATTAGACAGCTTCAAATGGCGAATAAAATAGATAGCTTGGCTACTGGCTATTTTAGTGGCGCCCTGTATCCAGCAAATTGGCGATATCTGGCGATTTTTAGCATTCCAGATGCCACTTAATTTGTAATCCATTTTTGCTGATATATTACTAATAATAATAATAATGAAGAAATTCTCGTGGCCGAATATATAATAAATTAAAAAAATGCCAAAACGTCTTTATTTAGGCGGCGCAGTTTAGTATAATGCTACTCTGCCACTTAGCAATACAAAAAACATAAATACGTTTGATTGGTTACAAGTTTAAAAATGTAGGTGTATAAAAAATATGATATATATAAGTGAAGGCTGTTCAATAATTCATGTGTTAAAAGTATAAAATTGTAACAGTTATACAAACAAGGGAATGCTATACAGGGTGACTATGAAGTTGAGTCATTAATTTTCAGATAATGATTGTAGAAGGAAGATAAACCAAAATATGTGTGTAAACATTAAAAAAAAATTAAAAAAAATGTTACCTTGTTTTATAAAGTATCCTCCCGACAAGTATTTCAGTGCGGACCTGTATTTGATCGTGCGGTCTTGGAGAACCGGTAGGTCTTAAGTCACCTGATTCACGAGCCCTTTGTACTACATTAACAAAGGCACGAGGGGTTGGTTGCACTCGATTGGGAAACCGATTCGCACAAATCTGTGATGCCGCGGCAGCATTATGTAAAGACTCCCCCCCCCCCGAAAATAAGAATCATGTCCACAAGTTCAGCATTTTCGTAAACATGTGCCAAAGGGCTATAACTTTGTTAATTTAATTTTACCAGAAAAATGTTAAAGGAAAAAAACATTTCTTTTGATCAGATCTACTCACTGTTAAAATAATTGACTCAACTTCGAAGTCACCCTGTATTGGAAATATTTTTGTGTGAGGTGTCAGATAAATTTTATTAACTAATTTATCTCGTACTTCTAGGTATTCAAAATAAATTTCTTCATAGGTCTTTTAAATTCATCATGTGATAGCAATTTTGTGGATCGAGGTAGAGCATCGTAAAAAATAATTGTATAGATTAATGAAACATGAAACGAGGACCAGCGGAAGTTCTGTGCTCTAAGCACAATGGATCCGACCCATGTGAATGAACTTCGTTTCGTTCAGATTACACGTGTCCAACAAGGAATTGTTTATTATCATATAATATTATTTATTATGCCTATCCTCCCTCACCTCCGCTCTTCAGTTAACAGGCAGGCTACTACCCCCCTCCCTCCTCCCTCAAATTCATTCCAATCTCTAGCCTGGCTGGTTGACTCCTAGTTATTTCACAGATTGGCGATTTCTGGCGATTTTCTCATCAAAACTTTACGACCACGTGACTGAAAACCGGGCAACCCTGCGCGGGGGAGACGGGCATGAGGTTCCGCAGAAGGAGCACGTATATCATCGCTCAGCCCGACGGACGTACGAACATTGTTTTAACGCTATTTTTTTCGCATTGTACACTATCAGTTGTAAATCAGCCTCTACCTTAGTAAATAAAGTGATATCGCATTAACACCGTCTTCCTACCCATTAACCTGAGAGAGCTAGCTCGGGAACTATTCCAAAGATCATAACCGTCTTTCCTATGCTCCTCCAGAAAAGATGATGTTACATTGAAATGGAAGGAAGACCCGTACGTCTCAAAAGCAGACACATTCTCATAGATGCGGCTGCGGTATCTCATTTTATCTCGGATGATTTTGTGATAAATTTCGTACAAAATGTTGTAAGAAAGTTCGTTACTGAATTTAGTTTCCAATTTGCTTACAAATTACAATCCTGTCTGACACGAAATGTTTGTACTAAATTTCATACGAAATCCTGCGCAGTCGGTAGAGAAAAACTATAACTGTCACCTTCGAATTGACATTTATCACGTCAAAATCACACCTTTCGTTGCGACTTGCTACTTTATCACCCTAAATGAATAGAAGATTGAAGAAAACGGAGCTATCCAGTAATTCGCATGTATTATATACGACTGCGGCAGCAGTGATCTGCGTTGTAGCAGGGTATTTGGTTGATTTAATAAAACAAGGACTTACTCTGATATAGCTTTTTACTTTATGATTTTTATGTCCAATCCTTATTTTGGTTATAAAATTACAAAGAGTTCCAATACATTTGAGAAATCGTGCTATACTAAGTGACATATAAATCCGAACACCCAGTTTAAATGGTTTTATTTCAATAAAATTTTGTATAAGTACTTAATGAAGCATAATGAGTAAATGATAAAAATTTCAAAATGATTGCACTGCTTTAAAGCCCTTTGACCTTTAATAATGTTTGGATGCACCCTGATGTGCTACGCATTCTCCAACGCGCCTAGACATGCTTCTGATCAGGTGGTCAATGTCCTCATGTGGTATCTCATTCCAGGCAACCACCAACTCCTCTCGAAGTGCTTCTAGAGTCTGAGGAGGACGTTGCAAATTGAGCAATCTCCTACCCATCATATCCCACACGTGCTCAATTGGGGATAAGTCGGGAGATCTTGGTGGCCATGGTAACAATGTGACATCTTTATGTTGAAAGACGTCTATTGTGACTCTTGCAACATGTGGTCGGGCATTATCTTGTTGGAAAGTTGGATCTGCCAGGGTGTCAAGATAGGGTAAAAGATGGGGTTCTAGAACTTCGTGGATATAACGCTGCGCGTTCATGTTACCTCTGATGAAGATTAAAGGTGACCTGGAACCATAAGCTATAGCACGCCAAACCATAACTCGAACAGTGTGATGTGTGATGAACATTTCAACAAAAAACTGTGGATTCCTCCTTTCACCACGTCGCCTTCTAACCCTGGCACGACCATCGTGCATGCCTAAACAAAATCGAGACTCGTCACTAAAGACAATACTGATCCATTCCTGATCCCAGGGTGACCGTTGTCTGCACCACTCAAGGCGATTACGTCGGTGTTCTCGAGTTAAAGGGAGGACCCAGTGTGGCCGGTATGAAAACAAGCCAAAACTTCTCATTCGTCGGTAAACACTTCGCATGCCAATAGGTCTTCCGTGTTCTGCAAACCATTCATTTGCAATGGACCTGGTAGTGGAGAAACGGTCCCTTAAGGCCAATAATCTTAGGCGGCGATCTTCACGGTCTGTTGTTCTACGGCGGCGTCCAGTGCCCCTTGCTCTTTGCGTACGGCCTTCTCGAAACCATGCCTGACAACACCTAACCACAGTGTCTACACTTCTTTGGACTCTAACTGCAATTGCCCGAAAAGAAAGTCCAGCTTCCCGAAGTCCCACTATACGGCCCCTATCAAACTCACTAAGTTGACGAAATCGTACAGGTCTCCGTACTCTAGGCATCGTAACCGATCGTAAAGGATGTCAAGAACCAAAATCCGCCAACGTTGATTCTTTACTGCGGCTGAAATATTCATTTTTAGAGCGTTAGTGAATTAAAAAAAACCAGTATAAAAACCGGAATGTCCAACTGATAAGGCTGAAAATTTTTTCACTTGTTATTTACAGTGAGATAAATACATTCACCAACTTTTATTAAAATAAAACCATTTAAACTGGGTGTTCGGATTGATATGTCAGTATATATTCTAAAATTTTTGAGAAATGTTTTTTAATTCAGATCTGTTTCAGTCATGTTAATAAACTGATGATAAAGTCCTGCAATAGCTCAGGTCATCTTCCAAACAATTCGACTTGCTGTCCCTGTATCAATGCCAACAAAGTCCCCAACAGTTTGAAGAAAGTTTCCTGTCGCATAATATTTTAGTAACAAGAACCATTTGTTCCACAGTTGCAGCATGATTCCTGAAAATAAATATGTATTATTAATATTAATTTAGTTAATATTTAAAAAAGATACCAATTTGTTGGAGACATTATTTGTGCTTCGACCTGGTTTATAAGAAATCGAACAGCTTGTTTGGTAAGTCGAAACTTTTGGATAAATTCGTCATCATTCCACACCACAAAGTGATCAGTTCTATATCTGTTTTCATCATTCGTTAGTTCTAGGAGATTTTCTCAAATTTGTAGCTGCTGACACATAACACAAAAAAGGGGGATATTCTACAATCAGATAAAATCCCTAGTAAATTGTTAAAAGACTAATGCAACAAAAATAGAAAAAAATATTTTAACAATGAATAAGGTTATGTTTATGTCACAAAACCCTACAATAGCTCCAAATGCGCAGTAGTCATCTGCCTACTTTTAGTATGATATTATTTAGAACAGCTTGTACAAAATTTAGCGCTAAATTCGTTCAAACAAAATTATGTACTAAATGCTGCCTGACACTATCCTTGATTTTGTACGAAATTTAGAACAAAATTTTGTGCGAAATTTATCACAAAATTTTGTACGAAATTCATCACAAAATTTCGTATCGTGGCAGGCTTCCTTTAGATGTTGGTTGTCTTCAGGTAGAATATGATAATCAATGGCTGTTGTTACACAGGCTGTAAGAAGTAGTAGACAGAATTTACACGGCGGGATACCTGACACAGTCACCGTCAAGTCACGGTCCACTGTACGAACAAGCCATTAGCGTTGTAGAAGCTGGTACTATTTTCTTCTTGCTCATTTTGCCATAGCTGTAAGAGTAGATATGATATAAATGAGAAATTATGTTTAATAACATTAACTTGGTATTCATTTGAAGCTAATTTGAATTAATGGCCTTAAAACGGGGAAGGAAATTAGATTACCCATACCAAGAGGCACTTTAGATAAAACATTATAAATACGGTCTGACATCCCCAGCCCAGGGGAGCTAATAAAGCGGATCCCATTTGTGTCAATATTACCTTGAGGGCAGGTACATATTGCACCGAAATACACATGCACTCCTGATGATACACAGTAACTTTATTTTCATGCAAAGCGGAGCGCGTATATCATCATATATATTTGAAAATATCATTTACCACAAACAAATGTCATTCCACTAATCTAAGGTTCCTTAATATCTCTATTTAGCGCCAAAATTTCATGAAATTATACCTAAAGACTCAAAAGATTAACGTTTCGGAAGTTGTTTCAAAAGAAATTTAAAAAAGTGGCTACATTCTATATCTAGGACTGAAATTCATAAACTCATAAATACGAACATCAAGTAAATACATAATCTACTGTAGCTAATTTTTGTCCTTTTTTGTCATTTGCATTCTACAGTTGAAACCTAAAATTATTGATCCATGTACAGGCAAGGCCTTCTATTGGGCCTGTTTTGATTTTATATTTATTTACTCATGTTGTTTGTTCTCTTTGTACATTGAGTGAATAAATATTATTATTAAAAGTAATTTGAACACAACTTTAAAGGGTCATGCTATTCAGATAGAAGAATCAGTTAAAAACTTAAGTTTGTTGAGAGATGAAAATCTCATTTATTTCTCATGTAGATGATACAACTAAGAATTGTTTTAGTGTTTTACGGCATCTGTATATGAATAAAGAAATACTTCATTTTAAAGCCAAAAAAATGTTATATTAATTTTCGATAATATCAAAAATCACATTATGATTTAGAATAGTATTAATTTATAGATTCAGGTTCAAATAAACATTTAAAAATAGTTCAAAATTCATGTTGTCGATTGCTATTTGTTCATGCTTCAAACTGCTGAATTGGTTAACCGTTGCAAAACTATCCAAATTTCTACTTCTATTCTTCTCTCTACACTCACGGAATATTCGATTCACTGACACCTTAACTATGCCTCTTCATAAAAGTTCATAATTTCATAAATGCTTTACCTATAATGCGATCAATCTATATAAAGCATTACCATCGTCTTGATTTTAATAATTTCAAAAAGTAAATTAAACAAATTATCTTTGATGCTCAAATCTGAATCAACTCTCAGCATATAAATATATCATCTATATTTTCTTATATTTCTGCATATTATATAGTTTTTTTTCGTATGCTGAATTTAATTTGTAATTTTCGTTAAAATTGTTTTCAACATCCTAGTGCTAGTTATTCAAGGTTTAAGTGGTGATATATTTATTTTATTTAACTCGCTTACTTGTCCAAATCTTGTAGCTAAATTAAATTCGTTTAATAATATATTTATTATAGACTCATATCAATTTTTACTGACAGAACTCAAGTCATTTTTACAATGCTGGTATTTGTGTAGGGCAATATAAAAAATAAAAGTGCAATCGTGAAGGATCAAAGCTAGAATTATGCAGTGGGGTGTTCCCAAAGCTCATAAACATCGGCAATTTTACAACAAGTCGGTCAAGCAGATACGGTTCTGTATACAACAACACGAAAACAAATAAAACGAACGTAGGCTTATGGAGGATACCCTCCTTTCAAGCCGACTATTGATCGATATATTTCTTTTCTTCAACTCGCTTGTTGTCCACAACTGCTAAGTGCAAACTGATGTCTGCTAACTTACAAGTCAAAGAAAATGGATGATAGATATTTTATTATGACTGCAGTTCAACGTAAACTGAGTTGAAAAAATGTATTGGCTCTTTTCATCCTTAAATATGATCAATCAGTCGAAATATGTATAAAAGCAAACTTTATAATATTAAGCACATGTTCTCAAAAACTTAGTAATACAGGGTGTAAACGTTATGGTAGTCATTATTGAAATGGATAATAAGGGGGTCAAAACAAGTTAAAAAGTTCATATTACATATGGTCCAAAAGTCAATAGATTTTTATCTAAATGGCTTTATCGTTTACAACTTTAAGTACTTTATATCGACCACAATCTTACTAATTTCTATAATCTAATCTAAAGCGTTTTTAAATTGGGTAATTAACAAATAAATGGCATTAAGTTTTTCTAAGTTAACCCAAAATTGTAGCCAGTGAGTAAGTTTCATTAAATTAAATATTTAAAACACACTTGGTAAAAGCGCGTCGGTCTTTCATCACTCATATCGAACCGGCAATCGATCGCAAACGGTAACACTGGTTATAGTTTTGCATTAGATAAATTACTTTATCGTTTTGTCGAGCAGAGCATCGGGCGTGTTGTTTTGTTTTTGTTCGCGTACGTTGTCGTATTTATTTACAATGTTCTTGAATCAAGAGTTCCCCGACATGTTGTTAGTTCACGGTGAAGCTAGTCAGAATTCAAATCTTGCAGTTCAAATTTATCGCGACAGATTTCGCCAATGGGTACACCCAGACACAAGGACATTTGTGCAAGTGTACCAAAGACTTCGAGATACAGGAATTGTTCAGCCCACTAATATTCGCACTCGTGAAAGACAGGTTACTGTAGAGCAGGCGGAACAAATTTTAAATATCGTGTAAATCAATGCAGATATCAGCACTCGGGAATTAGGCTGCCGCGTAGGACTATCGCATACCATAGTCCATAGAATCCTACGGGAAAATTTGCTTTATCCCTACCATGTACAGCGAGTGCAGGCCTTGTTACCAGAAGACTATCCTCGCAGACTAACATTCTGTCAGTGGTTTTTGCAAAAAAAACATTCAAAACCTGGATTTTTTTAAAAACATTCTAGCGACGGACGAGTGTACTTTTACGCGAGACTGGATATTAAATTTTCATAATACTCACACGTGGGCCCAAGAAAATCCTCATACCATTCGTGAAGGTCATTTCCAACAACGTTTTAAAATAAATATCTGGGCGATCAGGTAATTGGCCCTTTCGAGTTACCCCAAAGTTGTCAGGAGAGGTATATCTGAGCTTTCTAGCCAATAACCTAACAGAACTTTTGGAACAGACCTTAGACAACATGCCGTCACAACGGAGACACCACACATTTTTAGAGGCGTCATTCAGTATTTGAATGAACATTATCCAAATCGCTGGATTGGTCGAAATGCTCCTGATCCTCGCCAATGGCCAGCAAGATCTTCTGACCTCAATCCAATGGATTTCTGGTATTGGGGAGAACTTAAATGGATGGTTTATGAGGCTGGTCCAATAACAACTGAAGCAGAACTTCACGAAAAAAAATTTAATGCGGCTGAAATAATAAATAACTATAATAAAAACTGGGTTCGTCGTAATGAAGCTTCTGTGGAGAGTGGGGGACGACATTTTGAACACCTTCTTTAAATACAAAAAGAGTGCAGTGTGGGTCTTAAAAAGAAAAAACAATGTATGTATCAAAATTGTGTTCCCTATTTATAAGTGGATTTTTTAATACGTTCAATAAGCTTTCATACACCAGGTGAAGCGCTGAGACAGTTAGTGGTAAGTCCGTTTTTTTAATTGTTTGCATTTTACGAGTACATTATCAATTAATGAAATAATACCTAAGAGCCAAAAATAACAAACTCCATATTTATTTACACTGCGTTCCATCGTAATTTGCGTCTGGCATTGCGGCGTTGTCAGATTTTATTTTACTTTAAAGCCGCTTTTCTCTAAAAAATGCTGTCTTGACCCCCATGTTATATGGAACTTTTTGCTTCTGTCAGGGGGTTAAACCTCTATCACCCATTTAAATAATGACTATCATAACGTTTACACCCTGTATATCCCAAAATGGCCCATACAATATGTCTCTCAAAATGTCATCAAGCTGAGTTTAATCAACCCTAAAATTCACTTTTATAAATTACTTATTGACTGGTGGAAATGCATGACATGACGCATCTAAAAGTCTGAAATTTGGACGATTACAATATCTCATTACGTGGACAACAAAACCTCTGAAATTGGTGTTAGTTTTAACAGGCTTAATTATAGCCTGCTTGCTTTACAGGTTTACGCTACATGTTTTACAGGTTTACGTTATTTGGTTGCAAATACAATAGTCTAACGCCATCGTGCCGTGAGCTGACCTGATAATGAAGTCAATTATCCTACATCATGCATCAATTAGCTAACACAGCCACCATTTTTGCAATCGCCATTTCTTAAAAAGGTACCGTCATCATTTAAGCTGTGGCCACACCGGATGTGGTAAACTTATCGTCAAGAGGTAATATAGATGCTAGGGTCAGTTTTCAATGTGTGCTAAGTCAAAAGCTCCGTTATTATACAACATATCTGAGACAGTGATAGAGTGTCACTTCCCTTAGAAATCGTTTTGAGGTCATATTTGTTACCAACGGCTTTTGTCAGTCTCAAACTTTTTCCAAAAGATGAAAGTTCGTGGAGAAAACCATGCCTATAACCTTCCTCGGGTATGCATTAGTATGTGTACAAATATTTACCTCTGGTCTAGTTGTGGCTTAGACGTGATGCTGACAAACTGGAAAGACATTCACATTTACACATACATTGTGGCATTCAAATGTTGAATAAAACCAAAGTAACTATTACATTACGTTTACTACTACTACTATTTCCAGGCTTAGGCTTGTTTGATAAGTCATACTATGGGATTTTATTTTCTGATTGTTGAGGTATCGAAAAAAACACGCAACCTTGAGAACTCGCACCTCCACAATAGGAAGGTTCGCCATTTCTTTATTTCTACCCAAATCGAGAGATTTTGTTATCACTAAACGATAAAAAAAATTGAGCAATAAGCATTGATATTTACGTCAACTAAAAGCATTCCAAAATCAAGGATCGGCGCGAGGCTGGAAAACGTACCTGTGCGCGAGACTAGACCGCGTGACGTCAGTAGCCAGACACACCCCACTAGCTGGCCCGCTGCATTTACCATTCTCACAACAACGCCCCAGTAATCGGTTTGGAGTAGTTAGAGCTGGTACGATAGATTATTGTTAAATTCTGTGAA